AGGCCACAAAAAGAAATCACACGGCGTAATATCACATGACCTCGGTGGAAATTCATGTTCAGCATTGAGACTTATTAGTCGATTTTGGAAAACTTCCCTCAACATATTCATCGTCTCGCCTGCCGTATGTGCCCTTGCGCCATCTTGTTGAAAGTAAAAGTTTGTAATTTCGTTTTCTTCCAGCTGGTTAACAAAAGGAGCGATAATTTCTTCTCTATACCTTTGCGCAGTAAGAGTACCATTAAAAAAAATAGGTCCATAAATCCTCCTTCGATTGAGAGCACACCAAACTCCAATTTTTTGAGCGTGTAGAGGGCCCTCGACAAAAAAGTTATCTGGTTTTTCAGAAGACCACATTCTCATATTCTATGAGTTTACGTAACCACTTAAATGAAACCAGGCTTCATCAGAAAAAAAGGTGATATTATGAAGTTCACCGTAGTTGTTTAAAAACCATTCACAAAATACAGCCCGTCGCAGAAAATCAACTTCATGAAGTTCTTGCTGACAAGTTAAACGATAGGAGAACAAACGCAAATCTTTTTTTAACACTGTGTGGCAGGTACCGACTGATACTCCCACCATTTGTGATAAAACACGTACAGAAGTTCTTGGCGCATTTTCCATTATTTGTTGGACATTTTCTTTTAATTCTTCAGTCCGCTTTTTAGGTCGGCCGCTTCCTTCTTTTCTTGTTACACTGCCCGTTTCACGAAAAACATTAACATAACGCTGAACTGCACTTTGAAAAATTTTGTACTCAACAACGCCGGGAAATTGATTTTGAAATTCTATGAATCATACCTCAATAGAATACTTCCATATTCCATCAATCTTGCGTCCATTTCTAAAGTAGGACTCTATGTTAAACACTTTTTGGTCTTGAGAAAACACCATTTTAAATGCTTTTTAAGCGGCGATATAGCGCTTTGACAGATGACGTTTAAGTTCATTTGCTATACGCTACGCCCTACGTCCAAATTTTCAGAACCAAACTTGACCACGTTTTTATTTGAACGCTCGTTATTTTTTTGAAATATATATAATTTTAGTGTAAATAATGTATGTATAATAATATAAATATTTATGCAAGTTACATAAATAATTATTCATTTATTACCTAATAAAGATCCTGTCAGAATTATTTAAAATATTTTTAATATATACAGGGTGTTCGGAAATAGTGATACTTCACTTTGAGGTAAATTTGTCGACTCAAAATAAGACAAAATTTTATATAAACATGGATCCGCAAATCCACCCTATGGGAGATAGACGTGTTTGAAGATGACTTTAAATAAATGGATTTTTGCCCATAACTTTTAACTGCTTTGAAGAAGAGTTTGAGAATCTTTTATGATTAATAATTTGTTAATAGCTGTTTTACTTTGACAATTTATTGATCAATTAATTCATGAAGTCGCTTCATCAAGAAATTGGACAAGTGTAATGCACTAAATCTGATGTCAAATAACTTCATGAATTTATTCATCAAGTTCTTGACGAATTAGAGCATGTTCTAATTTTCGTCAATTTCTTCGTGAAGTTCGGAAGTACCAACCCAACAGATTTCCAGCCTCAGATCAGTAATGATGAGGTTATGTTATTGGAATATGTAAATAATTGTGTGGCGTCCTACTATATAGTGTTGCATTGTTTTTACTGATTTACAAACACTAATATTTATATAATATTTGTCGAAACGGTACCGCTGTTGTATCACTACAAATATGAGTGGAAATTAAAGGTGACATTTTTGAAATTTATTTGCTTCTTTGATTCGTTGGTTTACCAATAAATTCGTGAATTAATTCATGAAGAACTTCGTCAATTTATTCATCAATAAATTATCAATGTAAAACAGCTATATATATGCATGATAAAATTTTCGGTTACTGTAATGTTTGTCATAATTTTTAATTCAGGCTTGGTATCATATTTATGACCTACTAATTTTCTAATTTAATTCCCGCCGCATCTCAAAAATTTAAAACGTCTGTATCTCGAGAACGGTTGAGTTTATTGATTTCTAACAAGTAGGTACTTATTCTTTTTTTTTTTATTTAAAATTGAACGTAGTTCAATAATTTCTAGTTAAAAAACTCAAAATTGTAAAATACAAAATGTTTTAAGACATATTTTTACATTGATAGGACAATATAACTAGCGCCCCCTAGACGTGACCCCAACACTGTTTGCATATTTGTATTTGCCACCTCAAAACAAACGTAAAACTACAAATTTTCAGAACAATCGGTCTATACATACTTGGCCTCATGGCCCTACTAAACATAACAAACGCGACACTCAGACTAAGACACTTCCCTACCCGCTGGAAAACGGCAAACATAATCCTTATCCCAAAACCCAACAAAGATCACACCATCCCATCCAACTACCGGCCCATTAGCCTGCTCCCGGCTATGAGCAAAGTGGTAGAAAAAATTATCCTAACCCGTCTAAGAACCCACTCCCAAGAACTGCAAGTCATTCCAGACGAGCAGTTCGCCTTCCGACCCAATCACTCCACTGAACTCCAAATCCTTCGCCTTACCGAGCACATCACGGCGGCCTTCAACAGGGGACAGTACACTGGTGCTGTCTTCCTGGACGTCGCAAAGGCCTTCGATACGGTTTGGCATGAAGGCCTACTGATGAAAATGCTCACCAACCAATATCCCATATCCTTTACCAAACTCATAAAATCCTACCTACACCACCGAAAATTCCGCATCCAAATCCAAGATTCCCTTTCCACCACCCGTCCCATGGAGGCCGGTGTCCCCCAGGGCACCGTCCTGTCCCCACAC